AAAACAAAACAAAGGACTTCATGCCAAACATAGTTGCACTCTGTTAGCTAATAACATCTCACTGGTGTTTTTACTATAATTCAAATTTCATTTATTTTAAAAATATGTAAAGGATTCTTGCAGTACACAATTCAGGAGGCCACCGAAGATAAATCAGAGTCTCCTTTCACTTTTGTTCTTTAAGTTTCAGACCCTCCTAGTCACTGTAAATTTTTAAGAACAGAAGTCACATCACCAGAGCTCTAAGGAAAATGAATCAGACAGAAATGCTTAGTATCTAAGGAAAATGAATCAGACAGAAATGCTTCTATACTGGAAGTACCAGACAGGTAACAGTGGGAATAAAAAGGAAGGGATGTGTGTAAGTTTCTACAGGCAAAAGCAACAGGACTTAGCGTTTAGCACAGGGCCTAGAACAGAGCAGGTAGTTCAAAATATTGTCTATGTGGCTCCTGAATGACAAGAATAGAAGAATGACCAAAATGCTTTCAAGATTTAGAGGCTGGATGACAAGGAGCTGAAAAGTGCCACTAACATTGTTAAAACAACAAGAAAAAAGTCAAGGTTCAGGTATGAAAGGGGAAGAAGACAAGGCATGTAGTTTTGAACCTATGAGTTGGAAATGCTCATGGGCCATGTAAATGGAAATTGTCAGGTGTTTGGAAATGTGATCCAGTGCTAATGAATGAAGTTGGAAGCTTTGGGTATAAATTTTAGAATTTTCCTTCAAAAAAATGGGAATGATTAGATCACTAAGGAAAATACTGTTTGAGGACAGTATAGAAGATGATGTCCAAGGACAGAAAATTAATAGCTATCTACATAGGGAAAAAAAGATGAGTGAAACCAGGAGAGCCAAGTATCATGAAAATGCAGGAGGAAAACTATCTTAAGAAGGTGGCAGGCTTATGCCTGTAATCCCAACACTTTGGGAACCCGAGGTGGGAGAATTGCTTTAGACCAGGAATCTGAAGCTGAATGAGCTCTGATTGTACCACTGCTCTCTATCCTGGGTGACAGAGCAAGACTCTGCCTCTAAGTAAATAAATTTAAAAAAGAAGGTAGCAGTCATTGGTAGTATCAGATAAGGAAAAGAGGTCAAGTCGAATAAAAAATGAGAAAAAGTGGTCAGATTTAGTAATAAGAAAGGGGACAGATTTAGTAATCATTGCAAGTGCAATGGCTCATGCTTATAATCCCAGCACTTTCAGAGGCCAAGGTAGAAGGACTGCTTAAATCCAGGAGTTCCAGACTAGCCTGGGCAAGAGAGAGACCCCATGTCTACATATAAAAATAAAAATTAAATTTTAAAAAAAGTGAAAGAAGAGGGCAAAAATTAGGCAGGAAATAACCAATGAGTGGGTGGTGAGGAAGTGAACACAGCCCCTGCCTTGCCCTCCTCTCTTGAGAAATCTGATGGTGAGGGGATGGCAAGGGATGGAACAGTAAGCAAATGGGCAAAAAAATGTAAATGTGTAACCTGGAATTGGCAACTCTGTGGCCTTCCTTAAGGGGCTAGCAGTGCCAACAATTTTCAAGAACTGAGCTACTAACACATTTACAGGGAAAGAAGGAGCTACGAGGATGAAAAAGACTGCGGGTACAAGACTCGACAATTGAGCAAGATCTGATGTGGGAAAGAAACAACTCTAGCTGACAGTTGGATCTGGAGAGGAAAAGAGGCACTTCTCCTGACCTAGAAAGGGAGAGAAAGTTTAGAGGAAGGAGGATAAGGGTGTAACTAACAGCCTGTATTTTCAGAAAAGTAGGTGACCTAGTTGTCCCTCCTCAACAGAGAATTAACTATCACCTAGGTGAGAAGCCACAAAAGCTAGACATTGGACTCACATAAACATGGCTAGCTTTTTAAGAACTTATGGCAAATATTTTAAAAAAATATGTTATAACCCCAAGAGGTAGGTATTATTCCTTCCTCTCATTTTAAAAACTTATGCTTCCCTTAAGAGGATATGAAACTTGCCCAGAGCAAACAAGCCTACATTTAAACCCAGATCTAACTGCATGATTTTAAAGTATATTACATCTTATGGCAAGGGGATAGGAGAGGCCATCAACTGATGGGTTTACCGGTATGTGTATCTCACCTCCAGCATTGATCTTTGTAAAAAAACAAATGAACAAAAAATATGGTTTGTGCTTTCTGGACTTTATAATTAAGACTACATACATATGGGAGTAAACTATTGGCAAGAAAGGAAACAGTAGAGAAAATACTTTTCAAATAAGAAATTGCCATTGCTTTAATTCTTTTGGTCTCTTATAATCTATTCTGTTACAGAGACAATTGTGCATACAATCCCCCTTGATCTATAAAACTTAGATTTGCACAAAGGTTCAGATTGGATTTAGATTAGGCCCTGCTCAGTGAAAATTATAAAAACACTGACACTACAGTAGCTGATATGAAAGAATATAGTAAATCCTCACTTAACATTGTCAATAACTTCTTAGAAACTGTGGTTTTCAGTGAAACAATGTACAATGAAACAATTTTTGTCATCAATATTATTTTTACTTTATTTTGTTTTGTTTTCAAAAGATGGGGTTTCACCATGTTGGCCAGGCTGGTCTTGAACTCCTGACCTCAGGTGATCCACCCACCTCGGCCTCCCAAAGTGCTAGGATTACAGGCCTGAGCCACCGTGCCCAGCTGTCATCAATATTATAATGAAATGAAGACAACACTGAATTTTTTTGTGTGGACCTGCTGTAAGTTGCTTGATCTAAAGCCACGGTTTATAAAAATCTATCTTTACTCTATAACCATGCTGCTATTCTTTATCCTGATATCTCATTAATTTTTTTTTTTTTTTTTTGAGACAAGAGTCTTGACATGTTACTGAAACTGGCGTGCGGAAGCAGTGGGCGTGATCTCGGCTCACTGCAGCCTTGACCTCCCAGGTTCAAGCCAGTCTCCTGCCTCAGTTTCCCAAGTAACTGGGACTACAGGCATCCACCACCACACCCAGCTTATTTTTGTATTTTTAATTGAGACAAGGTTTCATCATGTTGGCCAGGCTGGTCTGGAACTCCTGACCTCAGGTGATCCACCCACCATGGCTTCCCAAGGTGCTGGGGTTACAGGCGTGAGCCACTGTGCCTGGTCAAAATATTTTTAAAAATCTTTATAGTAGGTATAAGCATGAGAAACTTAAAAAACCAGTTTGTGACATTTCTATTTTTTTTTTTTTTTTTAGACAGAGTATTGCTCTGTTGCCAGGCTGGAGTGCAGTGGCGAAATCTCGGCTCACTGGACCCTCCCTCTCCCAGGTTCCAGTGATTCTCCTGCCTTAGCCTCCCGAGCAGCTGGGATTACAAGCGCCTGCCACCACGTCTGGCTAATTTTTGTATTTTAGTAGAGATGGGGTTTTACCACGTTGGCCAGGCTGGCCGCGAACTCCTGACCTCAGTGATCTGACTGCCTCGGCCTCCCAAAATACTGGGATTACAGGCGTGAGCCACCGCACCTGGCCTACATTATTATTAAAAAAATAAAAAAGAAATAAAAATAGAAATAACCTTTCTGTGGTGCTGAGTTTTTTGTTTGTTTGAAGAGATGGGTCTCACCGTGTCCCCTAGGTTGGTCAAGCGAACCTCCCACCTTAGTCTCCCAAAGTGTTGGGATTACATGCCTGAGCCCGCGCGCCTGGCCTGCGGAGCATCTCGAATCAACTACTCGGATGAACTGCAAGAAATGACCCTAAGAAGCAGGCGAATTGTCTCAGGAGCTCAAGCCTCTTTTGGAGAAGGACTCCACCAGCTGTGACTGGCTGTGAAGATGGAGGAAAAGGGCCACTAGTCAAGGCATGTAGGCAGCTTTTAGAAGTCAGAACAAGCACGCCTGTAGTCCCAGCTGCTCGGGAGCCTGGGAGGTGGAGGTTGCAGAGAGCCGAGATGACACCACTGCAGTCCAGCCCGGAAAACAGGACAGAGTGAGACCTTATGACCCGCCTCCACACACACAAAAAGACAGACCATGTCTTTTACGCTGGAACGAGAAACTTGAGAATTCTGCCTATGTCAGAAACGGGACAACGAACTTGCCGGGGTTTTCTCCTAACCTCCGCCAGTGTGCCTCACAGCCGGACGTGTTTCGTTTCGGGATTTTCTCACCTACAGGGATCCTAGCGTTTCACAAAGCAACCTTCCCTGCCTGCACTACGTTGACACCGCTTTTATTTTTCCTCAGCAACTTTTCAAGTAGTGCCCTCGGCAGCCGTTTCGGAAGTGCCACGTTCCTGAGTCCGCTACGGTTGAGTTTTAGCTCCTCGTTTTTCCAGAATGCAAGGAGGCTCCATTTTAGGCCAAAAGCCCTTCCCCTTCGAATGCCTACTCCGCCCCACCACGGCCGGGCAGACGACTGCTTTACAGGCCGGGCACGCTCGGCCTGGGAACGCCCGCTTCCAGCTGGACGAAAACGCTCCTCCCGTGCCCGCAAGGGCTTTGCCCGTTCCTCGCCTCGGTCTCACGCCTCCGTGGACACCGCCGCTGTCGCTCCTCAGCACTGACTGGGCAAGGTCGCGGGAGGCGACGGCCGGCTGGGACCCAGGGCTGCCCACTAGATCTCGCGCAGGGGCTCGCGCCCAGCGGGGGACCCGGGCCCCAAGGCGGCGGGCCGGCCAGGGCGTGGAGGCGGGGACGCTCCTGCAGGCCCGGGAGTCCGCAAAACGCGCCTCCAGCCGGGACCGAGGCGACACGCTCGCGGACCTTCGCTTGGGGCTGGCGGCTTTAGGAAGAAAGCAGCCTCGAGACCCTGAGGCCCCGGCGACGACCGTTAGCCTGGCGGACAAGCCATTGGATTTCCGGCGCACGCGCGGCGCGGCGAGGGCAGCTTCCGGTTTCCAGCCTCGCCCCGGCCGCTGCCTTCCGCCCCACCCCCAGGCTAGTGTCTCCCCTTGGCCCCGCCCCCTGGCTTTTCTTCCAACCCGGCCCCGCCCCCTGACCCGCTCCTGCCCGCCGCCCCTCCCTCGTTCCATTGCATTGTTGGATTGTGGCGCCGCACTCCCGCTGGCGGCCGGCAGGGGGCGGAGTTCGAGCCTGGATTTTTCCAGGAGGCAGTCCCGGCGTGGGGGAGGGGAGGGCGCGGCGCGAGGACGCGGTTCCGGCGGCTGCGGCGTTACTTTTGGTCCGGGCTCGGCGGGGAGGCCGCGACTGCCGCATCAGAGCTGACGTGGGGACGACGTGGGGCCGCTGCCGGCGCCGGATTGCTGGGCGGCGGCGCCGCTGCTGAGCGGCGGTCGGGCTCGGCGTCTCCACCTCCTCGCGTCCGTAATCAGTGACGAGGTCCGCTACGTAAATCCCTTCGCGGCGGGTAAGTGGCGCGTCGGCCTCGGCCCCGAGACCCAGCAGCCGGCGACGCGGCGCAGGAGGCGGAGGCAGGAGGCGGGCGGAGCCGGGGGTGGCGGGCCGGGGTCGGGGTCGGGGTCGGGGTCGGGGTCGGGGCCGGGGCCGGGGCCGGGGCCGGAGCCGGAGCCGGAGTCGGAGTCGGGACCCCGGGCCGGGCCGAGGGCAGCGGGGCAGCCGCGAGTTCCCCTGACGCGGCCCCTCGCCCGGCGCCCCCGAGGCCGCCGCCTTCCCGACCCACGCCCGCCTCGGCCGCTCCGCCGTCCCGGCACCCGCCCGCCTCCCCGAACTTGGGACGAGTTGGAAAATCCTCCCTGAGCGAGCCCTGCGGCTCCGGGGAGCGGTTTAACTCGGAAAAGAAAAAGGAAGCCAGAAGTAAGGACCTCGGGGTTTCTGTGCCCGCGGCGCCTCTGCCCACTCCGCGAGCGCAGTTCAGATGTGAGCGGACGCAGCCCGTGTTCCGCGAAGCCCGGGCCCGAGGGCCTCGCATTGAGTCGTTCGGTCCCGGGCGCGGGCGGTCCCGGGAGACGGGCAGGGCAGCGCCGCCACCGCTCCCGGGAGGCGCAGTTTCCCTTGTGCCTCTGAGTCTTGCCTTTTTAGGGCCATCTCGTGAGGTTCCCAGAGCCTGCTCAATTTGGGGAATAAACACATTCTTCAACATGCTTCTTGATCCTGTTGCGTCTTATTTGTGTATCAGGTATCTGAGTTTGAAATCACTTAGGGGTTTCCTGCACGCTGCTCAGCGAAGCAGCTGTCAGTTCGTAATCAGATTTTAAGAATTTGTGACTGACAGTGCCGGTCTCAGTGTCACGGAAACCGAAAAGAGCCCTTTTAACAGTGTGGCTTACCTACGTGACGAAGTTTCCTTTTCTGCTCAATTTGCCGGGCGGATGAGATGCACCTTTCCCTTGAAAGGAAAACCTAGATGCACAGAGTTCCGCTATGAACATCGTGTGAGATTACATTAATAATCCACGTTGTTGTTTTGTTTTGTTTTGTTTTGAGCACCACGTTTTTTTCCTAGTCTTGATTCTCTTCGTGGATAACAAACTTTCCCTTCCTAAGTCGTAGGAATTTTTTTCTTAAAGGAAGGCAAATTGCATGCAATATGTTTTGGCCAGTAAATGCTAAGCATTAAAACTGATGTTTAAAGAAGTACGTATTGATCCCAACACAGCTTTATGAAATATATTAAAATGGTTTTGATCCTGAATGAGTAAACATTTAAAGCATTGTCAATATTCACACAACTTTGGCGAATCTGTAAATAGATCAATATGACACATACTTTCCCAGTGACTTGGTGATGGATATGGAGTCATTTTGGTGAGTGTTACGTTGTAATTATGGTGATATTTTGTGTATATATTTTGGTCACAGCGTATGAATAAATTTTTACTGAATGCATAGATACAGAGGACATTTTTAGTCTTTTTGTTTTTGCATTGTCCCTGAAAGTTAATGAAATTTGCTTCTACCGACGAATTTTAACAAACTCTGGAGTCCATAGACTATATTCCAGTTTCCTACGCAGGTGAGTTACTGCCTAATCAAAATAGAAAGTCTTTTTTAGGGTTATGACCATTTCATGAAAAGTAGGAAAGAGTTTCGTTTATTAGCATACATCAGGAATCCTGACTGAAGGCTTACCAATGTTGACATATATTTCTGATCCTTTTTTTCCTAAGTTGTATTCCTTGAAAATTAAGTATTGGGCCAGAAGATTTAGCTAGGTTTATTGTTGAAGTGGATAGTCCTACTGAAAAGCTCTCAAATGTCCGGTTCCTTTTAGACAGACTTATTAAGACTGAACAGTGCAAACACTTAATAGTTGAGCCATTGAGAGA